AAAATGCTACTTAAGGGACTGGAGCAATAGTACAGTGGGTCTCAGGGCACTTGCCTTGCACATAGTCTAGCCAGGTTCAATCCCTGGTATCCTATATGGTCCCTTGAGCACCACCAGGAATAAATTCTGAATGCAAAGCCAGGAGTAACCCCTGAGCATCACTGGGTGTGATCCAACACCCTCTCCCTCAAATGGTAACATATTCAGCTGTAAGTTGTTGTTTTCCCATCTATAGTGGGTTGGGTTTTATTTTTTTGCATTCATCTGTTATTGATTGATACTTGTAGCTCTGGTTTATTTTAGTGTGTGTGCGGATGGGTTGTTTGGATAACACCTGGAGGTGGTCAGTGGCTTTTTACTGGGGCCTGGATTGATGGGTCAGTCCCAGATACTCAGGGATCATGTGGTACCCGGTATCGACCCCACACCTCCTGCACACAAAGCAGTATGCGCACCAGTCTGCTTAGCCTTTAATCCTGTGCATTTCAGTGCCATAAATAATTTCCTTTTGTATTTCTTGGGCCACACCCAGTGATGCTCAGAGATTACTCTTGGCTCTGCATTCAGGAATTGCTCCTGGTGGTGCTGGAGGCAGGGAGGGCAAAGGGACCATATGGAATGCTAGGGATTGAACCCAGGTCCGCCTCATGTGAGGCAACACCCTACACACTGTACTATTCCTCCAGTTCCCATGAGTATTTTTATTGTAACCAATTATTTGCAAATAAAAAACAAAAGCTTGTGTGCATTTCCCCACTGGTTAACTGTTTTATAATGATGAAGTGCAGAAGCCCAAAAGTTTGGCTTTCAAATCTTTGACCTTGGCCTAGAGTATAGCCACTTAGTATATTCACTACATTGAATATACTGAAACACACATTTCACAAGTCAACATTTACTCTGTGTGATGTGCTCAGGAATTTCCTATTTTCTACTCTCAGTCTCCACCAACTAGAGTTAGTTTTTTTGGTTTGTTTCTTTCTGGTAGGGTGCCCATACCTGATAGTGCTCAGGGCTTACTCCTCCCTGGCTCTGTGCCCAGGGATCACTCCTGGCAGGGTTCAGGAAACTATATATGGTGCTGGGGATTGAACTGGGGTAATTGGCATGCAAGGCAAGCGCCCTTGTGGCAGTTACCATCTCTCTGGCCCCTAGAGTTAGTTCCTGCACAACCATGGATTGAAAGCACTGTTGGAAGAGCTCTGTCTCAGAGAGAGCAGTCACAGAGCCTCCGGCAGCCAGGCATGTGGACCGGGGCCTCACAACAGTAAGTGGCAGCGTGGGGAACTGCAGCAAGCACAGGTCTCCTGCCCACCCTCTGCTAGGTGGCTCCCAATTGCCCTGTGCTGTCTTAGTTCCCCTCCTCTGTGATCTCCGCTGGTTGCTCTACAGCAACTGCCAGGTGCCCTCCACGTGGTTTCACGCTCTTGTGAATGTGCCAAGCCATACTCCCTGAGCTCCATACACCTGAGTCTCGTGAAAAATCCCTCAGTTCAAACTGCCTCTGTCAGGGGCTGGAGCGATAGCACAGCGGATAGCACGTTTGCCTTGCACGCAGCTGACCAGGGTTCAATTCCCAGCATCCCATATGGTCCCTCGAGCACCACCAGGAGTAATTCCTGAGCGCATGAGCCAGGAGTAACCCCTGCGCATCGCCAGGTGTGACCCAAAAAGCAACACAACAACAACAACAAAACAACAAACTGCCTCTGTCAGCCTTTGGTGGACGTTTAGAATAAATGGCTGAATAAATAACAATACTCCTACATTAAAAAAAAATCAAGAAGTGGGGGGCTGGAGCAATAGTACAGCAGGTAGGGTGTCTGCCTTGCACGCGATCCACCCGGGTTCTATCCCTAGCATCCCATATGGTCCCCTGAGCACCACTAGGGGTCACTCCTGAGCAGAGAGACAGGAATAGTCCCTGAACACAGCCAGTTGTAGGACCAACAGTCACGGTCATGGTCCTCCCATTATTCATCAATTTGATTGAGCGGGCCCAGTAACGTCTCCATCATAAGACTTGTTACTGTGTTTGGCATATTGAATACGTCACGGGTAGCTTGCCAGGCTCTACCATGCGGGCGAGATACTCTCAGTAGCTTGCCAGGCTGTAGGACCAAAACCAAACAAATTTAAGAACATTTTTTTTGGGGGGGGAGGATGGAGGAGGGTTTGGCACACCTGGCAGTGCTCAGGGCTTACTTTTGGCTCTGCACTTAGGGATCACTCCTGGCAGGGTTCAGTGGACCACATGGGGTGCTAAGGATCAAACCCAGGTCAGTTGACAAGGCAAGCACCCTACCTGCTGTACTCTCTCCAGCCCCAACAAATCTGAGTACTTTAAGACAGTGAAAACAGCACAAGAATCAAGCATGGGACCTTTCTTGGGGTGGGTTGTATGTCCCTACACAAGTCACACACCCATGACACTGTCCATATCAACCCACACCAACACCCCTTCCCTGGCTCCAGGATTCAAATACCACCTCCTCTGAGAAGCCTCCCTTGGCTGCAGTCCCATCCAAGCTATCCTGCTGCTCTCCTTGCTGGCCCCTCTGGCATTGCACAAACAATGCTATTATTACTATCTTATTTATGCAGCTGCCTGACTCCTTCCCCAGACACACACCTAGGGTAGGAGCTCTCTGGAGGCTCGCACTGCCCTTGACAGCTCTGGAACTGAACACTGGACTGGATGCTTTGTAGGTACTTCCAAGGGTTTTGCAGAAGGAAGTGAAGGGCACCCAGGATCACGGAGAGGTGCAGTGACCCTCCACCCAAGTAGGACGAGGAGGGTCTTGGGGAGGATGTAATCAGGGAACAAAGGTACCAAAAGGGAGAACTTGAAGGAGGAGAAGTAAGTGGGAGTGAACTGGGGCAGAGGTCCGGTGTGGTGAAAGAGGGGAGAGCTTTGACCTTAGACACTAGAGGATCAGGGGCACGCAGAACTGACACTTCTGGCAAACCCCAGAAGGCATTCCGGAATGAGAGACCCACGCACCCCCCCCCCCCAAGAACCCCTCTGGGCTGAGAAATCCATATTCCAAGTTATATAGTGCTACTGCCTGGAGACCAGGTAGGTGTGGGTCGATGGAGACCACAGAAGTCCTGCCTCTTTAACACCCCCCGATCACCCCACTATGCCTGACTTGGGCGGGAAGGAACAGACCCACGGGCTTACGGGAAACTGATGGAATCTTCCTTCGAGCTGTTCACCAAGCTGCCCCGTGAGGAAAGTGGGAGTCCCTTGGTGGTGACAGTCCTTTTCATAGTCTGGGGGCTTTGGCAGTGCTTCGGTATCGGCTCCAGTGCGTTCTGGACTGGGAGGTCTTCCTTCTTTACCATGGTCTCCTCCCCGTCTCCCACCTTGCATGGTACCTCGGAAGCCATCGCATATGTTTTAAGGGACCACGGCCTCCACCCTGCAGGACAACCAAGCTGACAGGAAGCAGAGAGAGAAACTGGAGACCTGGGACACACCCTGAGTCTGGGAGGGCTGAGGGTGAGGTGAGCTGACTTCATAATCATCTGAGTGTAACAGTTAGGGGCCAGACCCGGGCCTGAGGCTGCTACCTCCTCCCAGAGTCACAGGGGGGCGACCCCTGCAGTTCTGGGTGCCAGCAGCCCCACCTTCTGGGAACAAATATCTCAGCCCCTGAGCATGTGAGCTTGGGGGCTCCCTGCACAGAAGCCGCTGCAGAGTGGGAGTGGTCTCTGGGTGTGGCAACTGTCTTCACCAGCTCAGGCTTTGTCCCCAGAAACCTCAGGCCCCAGGCCCAAGATGACATGGTCAGAGATTTCCAGCTCCAACTCAGCACCAAGGTTCCACAGTTCCAATTCCAGATGGGTCACATCCACCCCAGGGAGTTCCCATCTGAGGGACAAGGGCACGTCCTGCCCACTCGCAAACATGGGCCTGACACCATTTCTGGTCTAGAGGGAAACTGCCCTGGAAGGGAGAGGCTTTGGGAGCTAATGAGGTCTTAGGGTGTTGTGTGAGGGACACTGCCTTTGGATTATAGAGACCTGCCTAACTCCTCTTGAGGGCCTGTGGAACCTTTGGAAAGACCTTGCCTCCCTGAGCCTGTTTCCCCAACTGTGAAATGGACATAGAAACAGTACCTACACCTCCCTGGATGGAGGACATAACCCACGGGGCAACGTTCCACCTCCCCGCCAGCATTCTGGATCGAAGGGTCCCATAAACTACCCATTCTGTCCATCTCCTTTATCATTTATCTATCTAGTCCCTTTGGGATCACCCCTGGCGGACTCAGGGGACCACATAGGATGCCAGGGATTGAACCCTGAGTTAGCTGCATGCAAGGCAAGTGCTCCGCCGGCTCTACTACGGTTCTGCCTCCCCTGAAATGTTTTCATTTCTTCCATGGGAGGAAGCAAAACAAAAACGAAACAAAACAAAAAAAAACCCACTTGGGGGCTGGAGCGATTGCACAGCGGGTAGGGCTTTTGCCTTGCACGTGGTCAACCGGGGCTCGATTCCCAGCATCCCATGTGGTCCCCCGAGCAATGCCAGTAGTGATTCCTGAGTGCAGAGCCAGGAGTAACCCCTGAGCATCGCTGGCTGTTTCACCCCCCCCCCCCCAAAAAAAAAGAAAGACACGGGAAAGCACCAAGTTATATTCGTGTGTGTGCTGGCATTTTTTATGGGGATCAGGACCAGTCCTCTACTCCGGAAGGATCTGGAAGAGTTGAGCCCTCTGCACTGTCCTCCTCTCTAGCACGGGGAGAAGCCGGCGCAGCGGCTCGAACCTGCGGAGCTCCGGTCCCCAGCTATCAGGACGCCAGGCAGGCGCCAGGAGGCTGCGCATGCGCACTCAGGGGAGAGGCGAGGGTGTGCGTCTGCGCGCGGCGGGAACCGCGACTTCCTGCGCGGCCGGCAGGGGGCGCTGCAGGCCCGGCGCTGGGCCCGCGAAGCCGGAAGCGGCGTCCGGCCGGGCTGGGCGGCTAAAGGGCGCCGGGCACCCCGGCAGCCCTGCACCCCCGCGCCTTCAGCATGGGCGTGCTCCGGGCCGGGCTGTGCCCGGGCCTCACTCACGACACGGTCGAGCTCCTGAGAAGCCACGGGATCAAGACAGGTGACGGCCCGGGAGGGCCCCGCTTCCCCTCCCTCAGGCCCGGGTGGGAGGTGGGAGGGGGCTGCTGCCGGGACCCCGGGGCCGGCCCCCACGCCGCCGCCCGCCGCGCGCTTCGTTTCACACCCAGGATTGTTGAGAGCATCGGCACTCGGTAATCACGCCTGGCCGTGCGCGTAGGACCAAGTGTGACTCCGGGAATCGAACCCGGGTCGCCAGCCAGCTCCCCACCCGCTGTATTCGAGCCCCCCCAACACGTGTCTTCTTTGCAGTGGTGGACCTGGTTTCCGCAGACTTAGAGGAGGTAGCCCAGAAATGTGGCTTATCGTATAAGGTGAGCTGGCCGTGCCCAGCGCCCCAGAGCTGGGGGTCCAAATGCCCATGCCTTGGGGCAAGGGAGCAAAGGTGTGGGTGAGGGGTGCCCTCCTGCTGCCCCCCTCCCACCTGGGGGAGCTCCCTGGCCTTCTGGCACTACTGCCCCGTTCTGAGCTGCCACCACCACCACCACCCCCGATGGCAGGCCCTGGTCGCTCTGAGGCGGGTGCTGCTGGCTCAGTTCTCAGCCTTCCCCTTCAATGGAGCTGATCTGTACGAGGAGCTGAAGACCTCCATGGCCATCCTGTCCACTGGCCTCGGAAGGTGGGTGTGTAGATGTGGGCAGGGGGAGAGGCAGGGCCCCTCCTCTGCATGGGCTTGATTCTGGAACGCAGCTGCTGGGAGTTGAGGGTGCTGCCACATTTTGTTTGTTTTTTGAGGGGCCACACCTAGTGATGCTTAGGAGTTACTCCAGGCTCTGCACTCACATTTACTCCTGGCAGTGTTCGGGAGACCATATAGGATGTTAAATAATCGAACCTGGGTTGGCCACGTGAAAGGCCCTAACAGCTGTATGGTCGATCTCTCTGGCCCACCTCTTCCACTTCCCGCATAACTGTTGAGGATTGGGGGGGATTGGGAACTGTCCTTGGCTTTGTAGGGTGTTTGGTGACATCCTGGACCTCTGCTCACTAAATGCCAGTAGCACCTCACTCCCCCAGTCAGAAACACCACCAATTGTTGGTGGCACTCCTATACAACATACTGGGATCAGCTCTGCCCTACAGGACGTCAGTATCTCGTTGTTCATCAGCTCAGACTAGTGCTTCTCTGACCTTGCCTCCGATTTCACTTAATGGGCCAGGATGGGGCCAGAGAGATAGTACGGTGGATTAGGTGTATACCTTGAATGCAACTTGATCCTGATTTGATTCCTGGCCTCACATATGAGGACTTCCTGGTCCCCTGAGCACCGCCAGTAATGATCCCTGAGCTTAGAGCCAGGAGTAAGCCCTGAGTTCTGTGGGGCGTGGCCAAACACCAAAAAGAAAATTTTAAAATGAATAGGGCAAGGGCCAAGGAGATAGTTTGGAGAGCAGGAGCACATGCTGTACTTACTGGAACTGGGGTTCAATCTCCGCCACCCCAGGGTCCCTCCCCAAAGTGCCACCAGGAGTGACCCTGACCATTAAGCTAGGAGTTGCTGCAGGACACTGTTGGAAGTGCCCTGCAACCAAAACTAGAAACAACAGGGCAGGAGGACTAGGGCTATGGCTCGGTGATTAAGTGTGTGCTTTGCATGCATGAGACGCAGGTTCAAGCTCTGACACCACAGACTATGGGGGACATGGGGCAAGAGGGGACAGGGAGAGGGCTCGGGGGCTGGAGCACATGCCTTGCAGGAACCAGACCTTGAGTTGTATATCCCATACTACATCCCACTGTCCCCAGCACCGTTGAGTATAGCACTGGTAACCCCTGACACTGAACTATCGGACCCACGTATCTTGGGTCTGGCATCACTGGGATGGGCCCGTGGTCTCCTAACCACCGCAGAGGAGGTCACCTGCCCCTGCCCCCGTGCAAGCCCCAAGACACGCATATACAAGAATAAGAAAGAGAGGAGTGTTAGAGCACGTTCGAGGCCCCAACAATAAGAATAGAGGGCAAGAGGAGCCAAAGTGATAGTATAGCATACGCCTTGAATGCACATGATCTGGGTTCAATCCCCAATACCATACAAGGGCTCCCTTAAAGCCCACCAGGAGTGATCCCTGAGTGCAGAGCCAGGAGTAAGTCCTGAGCACAGCTGGGTATGGCACCAACAAGACAAAACGAAAGACCAGGGCAAGAGAGAACAAGTCACCCTTCTTCTCGAGGTTGATAACCTCACACTGACCGTTAAGAGTAGTGGGTGGTCCCACTTGAGTCTGGGAGGAGTACGTGGCAGGATCCAGAACTCGGACTGTTCCCCCGTATCCTACAGTGAGAGGTTAGAGGAGGGCCAGGGAGCTTCATCGTAGAGGTTCTCCCTGCCACGTTGTTTGGAAACAACTGGTCGAGGGCAGGTGGCTTCTGACCTCTTTTCTGGCTGAGTGTGGAATTTGTTTTCTTTATTTGTTTCCTTTTTCTTTTTGGGTCACATCCAGCAATACTCGGGGGTTACTCCTGGCCCTGCACTCAGGAATCAATCACTCGGGGTGGTGCTCAGGGGACCATATGGGATGCCAGGGCTCAAACCCGGGTTGGCTGTGTGCAAGGCAAACACCCTCACCGTTGAAAAATCAGTCTGGCCCCTGAGTGTGGAGTTGGAAGCAGAGCTCTGCCACCCGGACAGTCTCTGCATTGATTTGGCCCTCACTGCTTCCGGAGCACATCCTCTTGGCAAGGTGCACCTGGACGCAGCTTGTTTCCTTGGCTGCTGGACCTCACTCCCTTTGCCTCCCCCCCAACTGGTGGGGTACCCCCTGGGCGCTCAGGGGGAGGTTGTGGCAGACCTCAGTGAGTCCTTGCTGCCCTGCTGGAGGCTGATCCATGCAGGGCACAATTGGGGGAGGGTTGGGAAGCTCTGCACTCCTGAAGTCTGGGGCTGGGCAGTGGAGAGGAGAGCAGGTAAACAGAGGCACAGCTCTGGGTGGGCAGTTAAGGAGGGGGTGATGCATTGGACTTGGGGTGCCGATCAAACAGGCGTGAGGGAAGCATTTTAGGGTGCAATCTAGTGGCAAACTAGCAGGGTTACAGCTGTTGTGGGTCACTGCAGGGGGACCCCAGGGGTTCCTGGATGGAGGTGGGCCGTGGGCCTTGGGCAGTTTCCTCCTGAGTGCTTCCCAGCAACCAGGCTCTGTGCCCAGTGGAGCAGGGTGTTGTTTCCTGTGTCCTTCCAGTCACTGGGGACAGTTTGATGATCAGAACCATCTCATAGAGCCTGAGAGATGGCACAGCAGGGAGGGCACTTGCACTGCACTGACCCCTGATTCATCTCCGGCATCCCATATGGTCCCCCAGGCACTTGCTATGAGTAATCCCTGAACATTGTTAGATGTGCTGCCCAATTCCCCCCCTTCACCCCCCCCCCCACACACACAAAAGATTTAAAAGTGGAAACATCCATCTGTTAGAGAGTGTGGTGGCCTTTTACGTGGCTCGGTGGTATGTGGGAGGCCAGGCCCTTCAAGGCAGGGTTCTCTCCTCCCTGAGTCAGAGAACTTAGCGCCAACTTGTTTGCCCACTTCCAGAGGTGGCAGGAGTTGAGCTTGAAGTAGTGGCGGGCAGGGCAGGGGGACTGGCAGGAGTGAGGCCCTGCCGAGTGATTCTTATCTAAGGCAGGTGGTAGTGGAGACGGGCATCTAAGTGGACACGGGCACGAACAGTCCAAGATAACTCCTCAGATAGAACGTGGACACAATGAATGGGTGCAACCTGATTTTTTTTTGGGGGGGGGGGATCCTTCTAAGTAATGCTTAGGGGACCAGGAGCCACTCCCAGTCATTTTTTTTTTCTTTTTAAGTCACACCCAGCGATGACCAGGGGTTACTCCTGCCTCATGTACTCAGGAATTACTCCTGGCGGTGCTCAGGGAACCATATGGGATGCTGGGAATCGAACCGGGTTTAGCTGCGTGCAAGGCAAATACCCTACCCGCTGTGCTATTGCTCCAGCCGCACTCCCAGCCATTCTTGACCCTCCAGGGCAGATGGTTCAATGCCTAGGTCTGACATTACAGCGCTGCATGGGCCCAGTGGAACTGGGGCCCTCCGGCCATACCCATAGTCTCAGGGTACCCTGTGGTACTGGGAGTCACACCCTGAGGGCTTCACATGTGAGATATATGTTCAGCTGTTGAGCTATCTTCCCAGCTCCAGTGGATGTGACTTTTTTATTTTTGCCTCTCCCAGCAGTGCTCAGGGCTTACTCCTAGCTCTGTGTTCAGGGATTATTCTAGGAAGTGCTCAGGGGACCATCTGGGGTGCTGGGGATCAAACCTGGGTTAGTCACATACAAGGTGAGTGCCCTGCCTGCTCTCATCTCTCTGGTTCCCCAGTGGATGCTACTTTTGGTTTGGCCGTTAAGCAGCTTGATTAGGAGACAGAGATGCCATTCGTGGGCTGCGACTTGGGGTCTCGTTGGGGCAGGGAGGAAAGGGCCGGCTCTACCCCCATCCTTTGAGGCCCCACGTGTCTCATCACTGCGGGCCCAAACCTGACTGTCCCATGGCCTCTGGAGAATGGCGGCCACCGAGCCACCAAGTGGGAGCAGGTGGAGGGACAGCACCCTTTCCCCTCAGGGGTGGCCTGGAGACAGTAACGTACTGTGGGGTCCAGGCGCATTTCTGACAAAAGCCGCTGGGTTCCGAGATTTGTTTCAGAGTCTCTGGGATCATGGCTATTAAGCAGCTTGATCAGGAGCCAGAGAGGCCATTCGTGGGTGGCGACTTGGGGTCTCATTGGTGTGGGGAGGAAAGGGCTGGCTGCACCTCCATCCCATGAGGCCCTGCATGTCTCATCATTGCGGGCCCAAACCTGATCCATAGCCTCTGGAGGATGGCGACCACCGAGCCCCCAGGGGGAACAGGCCAAGGCATAAAACCTATTACAACCTGGGGTGGCCTGGCACTGGTAACCTACTGTAGGGACCAGACGCATTTCTGCCAAAAGCCACTGGGTCCCGAGATTTGTTTCTGAGTCTCTGGGATCATGGCCGTTAAGCAGCTTGATCAGGAGCCAGAGAAGCCATTTGTGGTGCAGCCACTCTGGGAGTCTCGTTGGGGTGGGGAGGAAAGCGCCGGCTCCACCCTCATCCCTTGAGCTCCCACGTGTCTCGTCACTATGGGCTCAAACTTGAAAGTCCAGTGGCCTCTGGAAGATGGCGGCCACTGAGCCGCCAAGGGGGAGCAGGCGGAGGGACAACACCCTTTCCCCCCTGGGGTGGTCTGGTGCCGGTAACCCATTGCGGGGTCTGGACGCATCTCTGCCAAAAGCGTCTGGGTTCCAAGATTTGTCAGAGTGTCTGGGATCATGGCCCTTAAGCAGTTCGATCAGGAACCAGAGAGGCCTTCCCTCCAATTTAGCTGAGCCGGAGGTGGTTTGTGTATGTGTCTCCCACATACCTAACTTTTGGCCGTTTACTTTCTTGGTAAACTTTGCCCCAAGTTGTTGGGGTCTGGCCAAAGGCACCGCAGCAATTTTGGGGCATCTGGAAGTCTGAAGACACCATCAGGCTGCTGATGCCCTCGCCTCACAGGTACAGATTGACCTGCTGGAGGTACCATACCCCCAGTAACTGGAACATTTTGACTGGCAGGGACTTATGGTTATACACTTGAGGTCCTTAAAATTAAGGATGCTTACCAAGGTGCTCCTTGTCTCATACAGAGAGAGGTCATGGGACAGATTTTCTTCTTTTGTTTTTAATTTTGTTTGGGAGCCACACCCAATAGTGCTCAGAGGCAATTCCTGACTCTGCACTCAGGAGTCACTCCTGGGAGTGCTCAGGGACCATATGGAATGCCATATGGATACGGCAAGTGCCCTACCCTTTGAATTTGCTCAGGCCTGTGAAGGGGCAGAATTTCAAGCGTCAGTACCAGAGCAATAAGACAGTGGGTAGGGCATTTCCCTTACATGCAGCCAACCCGAGTTCAATCCTTGGGATTCCATATAGTCCCCTTAGCACTGCCAGGAGTAACCTCTGAGTATTTGGGCGTGACCCAAAAAGCCAAAAGAAAATATTTAAGAGCCACTTTGAGGCCCCAGGGGATGGTTCAGTGGCTAAGGCTCCTGCGTGCAAGTATACAGTCGAGAGTTGGTGCTGCTCAGTACTTTGCTCTCTGATACTTCTAGTGCTGCACAGAGTGAGGGTCCCCCAGCACATGGCCAGGTGTGTATCACTGACCACTAAGGTACTCTGCCCTGGCAACAAAGAGTGAGCCTGAGGCTGGAAGTGTGACCTGACCTCTGATGGGCACATGTGTGAGCACTGCAGCCCGAGCACGCTGGAACACCACCACCCAGATGGGTGTGGTCCCAGGAGGGATGGACGCCCCGTGGTGATCAGTGATGCTTGGGGGGGGAGGGCGGGGGATGGATAAGGTGGACTTTCAGGTGGGCATGTGTGGGTTAGGGACCTATTTTGGGCGGCTTCAGAGATTGACCCTGGGTTAGGAATGGCCTGATTGAACCTGTCTTGGGCTCATCCGAGGCTGCCCCAGCCAGACTGTTGACCTGAGAGGAACTAAGCCACAAGTGTAGGTCACTTCTCTGGGAAGGTTTCTTGCCCCTCCTTTATGTCAGGCCGTGTGTGAGTGCTGGGGATGTAATGATGTTGGCCCGTGTTTGCCCCAGGGTGCTCTGAGCCAAATGGGGAAGACGGAGTAAAACAAGCAAATAGAAAATAATTAAAAGCTCCTCGAGCTAGTGAGTGAGTTCACCAGGGTTGCAGAATCGAAGATCAGCACATTTAAAAAAAAAAATTGCATTTCTATATGCCCCCGATGAACACGAGGAAACAGAAATTAAAAGCAGGACCATTTACAATGGCTGCAAAGAAAATGGAACGCTTTGGTATAAATTGAGTGGAGCAGGCACAAAAGCCATATGCTGAAAATTAAACATTTCTGAGAAGCATAAACCCGAGTCTAGAGAGAGGGCTCGGAGGGCGCCGTGCGTGTCTGGCCTGTGTGATTCTCTTTTCTCCCCTCCTGCAGCCTGGACAGACTGCTCGATGGTGGCCTCTACACCGGGGAAGTGACCGAAATTGTAGGAGGCCCAGGCAGTGGCAAGACCCAGGTAGGAAGCTGGTCCGAGGGGTGGGGAGCTGGGTTCAGAGTCCTGTGTCCCTGTGCTTTGTGGGTTCAGAGCTGACAGAGTGTCAGTGGTGGGGGACAGGCCCTATATGGGATCTGGCTGGGTTGGGGGGAGTCCCCGCCCTGGGCCCTCTCTGAAGGCTCGGGTTTGCCCTGGGCCCTGTGTCTGCCCAGGTCTGTCTCTGTGTGGCTGCAAACGTAGCCCACAGCCTGCAGCAGAAGGCCCTGTACGTGGATTCCAGCGGAGGGCTGACAGCCTGCCGCCTCCTCCAGCTGCTTCAAGCCCGGACTCCAGATGAGGAGGAGCAGGTGAGGGCAAACGGGGAGGGTCCCTTTATGCGTGGGACACAGACTGATCCCACTGTGCCCCAGGTGGCAGGCGGGACATCTGACGAATTCTGGCTTTGAAACCTGCTGTCCTATTGCTGCTGCACGAGCTCTTCAGATTGCCCCAGTTACACATCCTCAGAACTGGGTTGCCCCCTGCCTTGGCTCTTCTGGACCCATACCCCTCATATGTGGTAATACAAGTCTGGTTGTGTGTGTGTGTGTGTGTGTGTGTGTGTGTGAGAGAGAGAGAGAGAGAGAGAGAGAGAGTGTGTGTGTGAGAGTGAATTTAGTGCTATGCTCAGGGCTTACTCCTGGAAGGGCTCAGGAAACCATATTCAGTGCCGGGGTATGTGTGTGGGCAGGGGGGTGGTGTATTTAGGTGTGTATGTGTTTGTGTGTGTGTGTGTGTGTGTGTGTGTGTGTGTATTTAGGGCTGTGCTCAGGGCGTACTCCTAGAAGGGCTCAGGAAACCATATGTGGTGCCGGGAATCAAACCTGGATCAATCGCATGCAAGGCAGAGGCCTGACCTGTCCCATTTCTTGTCCATGGCAGACACGACTTGTCATCCTCGACACTCTTTCCCCCTGGTTTCCCAGCTTGGCCTCAGGTAGTTGTCAGTTTGAGAAGCAGCTCATTGTCTCTTGAGGCCAAGCCCAGGGTTGTGAGTCCTTGTGTCCAAGTGCCTCTTCCTGCTCCTTCCTTCTCAGCTCTCAGAACCTCCTGGGGCTTGGCCCCCTGCCCCCCTCTCTCTCCCATCCCTCCAGGCGGCAGCACTGCGGAGGATTCAGGTGGCACGGGCCTTTGACATCTTCCAGCTGTTTGGTGTGCTGCAGGACTTCCGAGGAGCTGTGGGCCAGCAGGTGAGCCACCCCACAGTGTCTGCCCGAAGAGCCGGAGGGGTCAGGCAGAGGTGCAGGCCTGGGACTCCGGCCGCCAGGCTGCAAGTCCAGATACATAGGCTTCGCATAGTCCAGATGCAAAGTGACTCCTTGCAAGAGGCCCTTTTGTTGCTAGGACCATGCCAGGCCCTCCCTTCATACCGCCCCCCCCCCCCCCCCCCCCACCATGCTGGGCCTGAGAGCCTGGCCTTCAGCTGCAGGTGGTAGAGTCTGTGTGTCAGACATGGGAATCCTGTGGGCGAGTCACTCTCTCCCCTGAGTCTGGAGTAGGTGAGGGCTGTCCTGGGCTCCACTGGTGGGTCTGTCCCTCCTGCTGGTCTCGCCCAGGCTGCTGTATCTCCTCCCTGAAGGCCAGGGAGCTGGCCCTGCACTGGAGCACAGCCCCTGCCCTGTCAGCAAGGACGGAGGTTTGCAGTGGCATTTGCCTTGGTAGCCAGAAGTGTTTGCTGTGGGTTTAGGCAGGATTTTAACAGCCTGTAGACACACATTACAAAGCACAGTACATTTTATTTATCTTCCAAGCCCGTCTATTTCTGTTTCGTTTGGGGGACATACCTGGCAGTGCCATGGGGCTATTCCTGGCTGTGCTGTGGGGAAAGGGGAACAGGGGGTGTGACCCTAACTGTGCTCAGGGGACCATATGGGGTGCTGGAAAGGGACCCAGGTTAGCCGTATGCCAGGCAAGTGCCCTACCCGCTGTGCTGTCTCTGGCCCAGGAAATCATTTGTATAAGCTTCAGAACATTTAATTGTTGCACTGATGAGAGTCAGAGCCAGGCATGGCCCCACGGACTTCGTGACGTCCAGTAGATTCCAGTCCTTTCTTCACTGGAGAGGAGAAAACTGAGGGCCTGCGAAATCCCACAAGCAACCCAAAGTCACCCACATCTTTTTTTTTTTTTTTTTGGCTTTTTGGGTCAAAACCAGTAATGCTCTACATTCAGGAATTACTCCTGGCAGTGCTCAGGGGACCATATAGGATGCCGGGGATCAAACCCGGTCGGCCGCGTGCAAGGCAAATGCCCTACCTGCTGTAACAATTACTCCAGGCCCCTCACCCCCTCTTGAGGCTGAGAATCAAGCTGTATCCAAATCTGCTGACTCCCAGGACTAAAGGCTCTGCTGAGGGCGGGGAGTAGGGCGCTGTTCCTCCCTGCCTCCCCGCCCCCTCCTCTGTGAGCACCCCAGGAGTAACCCGGAGGCAGGAACGCGGATTCCACATCTGCAGGGCTGGGCGCGGGCACTCTTTGCCCCTCTGCCTCCCATTCCACTCCAGGCATCAGTTGCCAGTGTCCCTTTTGTTTAATTATTTTTCACTCTTTATTTCTCCCCGTCCTTTTGTTGTTGTGTTGGGTGACTGGGGGTGTGGCACAATCTTAGTTGTGCTCACCTGGAGTCAGACCCTCTGGCTGTGCTCGCACACACCGATTGTACTGAGCTGGAGCTCACACGCCCGTGGTGGTGCTGGGGGGCATGGTCAGCACTGGGTGTGTGCATGCCCGAGGTCTCAGGCCTGAGAGCCCTACCACACTGGGCTAGACTGGTCCCTGAGGAGGGTTCTTTTGGGTGGGGCGGGGGGGGGGGGGGAAGTGTGGCTCAGTGATGCTCAGGGGCACTCCTGGCACTGTACGTGGAAATCACTCCTGGTGGTGCTGGGGGAACCAGAGGGGATGCTGGGGATTGAACCAGTTTGGCTGCGTGCAAGGAAAATGCTCCTCTGTACTATGGCTCCAACCGACATTTTCCTTTTCTTTATTTTTTTTGGGGGGGGGGGTAGGGGGAGGTGTTTCTGTTCTGTGTTTTGGACCACACCCTCAGCGCTCAGGAGCTACTCCAGGCTCAGTGTGTGGAGGCTGGCAGACCACCCTTTGAGAGACTCTGGGGACCTTGCAGTGATTAAGCCAAGCAGTCAAACCCCAGCCTGGGCATCCAGCCTGCCAAGCTCTGCCTCGGGTGCTGGGCTGTGTTGTCTTATTGAGAGATTCAAATAGGGAAGAATTTCCTTACAGCAGGGCTGGAGATAGGGCCTTTGCCTTGCATGCGGCTCACCTGGGTTCGATCTCCGGCATCCCATAATGGTCCCCCGAGCAGTGCTAGGAGTGATTCCTGAGTGCAGAGCCAGGAATAACTCCTGAGCATCGCTGGGTATGGCCCAAAAAAGCCAAAAAAAAAAAAAAATTCCTTACAAGGTCACTCAGGTTCTGGCAGGATATATTTCCTGGACTCCTGGAGGCCCTGCTGTAGCCTCCTAAGGGATCCTTCAGGCTGTTCCAGCACAGTCTTGGTGGATGAGAGCTATTAGCAATACACAGTCCTAATGGAGCGAAATCTGACTCTCAGCCAGACAACGCGTTCCTGGTCAGATGGCCTAGCCTCAGGTGGAGGGGGCGAGGGGGCATTCCCAGAACCCCTGACATCTTAATTATTTATTTATTTAAAGAGAGTTTATTTAAAGGCCTATTTTCTTTCCTTTGTTGGGGGATGCGGGTGGGCCACACTCAGTGATGCTCAGGGGTTACTCCTAGCTCTGCACTCAGGAATTACTCCTGGTGATTCTTGGGGGACCATATGGGATGCAGGGGATTGAACCCAGATAGGCCATGTGTAAGGCAAGCGCCCTCCCCGCTGTCCTATCACTCTGGCCCCCACCCCTGACATTTTGATTTTTCCTGCAGTGCCGGGCAGTGACCCCAGGGTCTCACAGATGCATCGCAAGTGTTCTGCTGCTGAGCCGTCCCCCTCCCCACCTCTGACATTTTATTAAGTAGAAATTAGTCACCGGCCTTACAGTTAAGAGAAGGTGGGGGTCATGTAGAGATAGTACAGGTCAGGCTCTTGCCTGGGTTTGATCCCCAGCACCATATAGTGACCCCCACCAGGAGGGATACCTGAGCACGTAACTGGGAGTTAGCCCTGAGCACAGCTGGATGTGTCCCCTCCCCCCCAAAAAAATCACAAAGGGAAGGGGATTATATAAGTTTAACTGCCTAGAAGTGTATGGATCATGGTTTGCTAGCTCTGTAGTATAAGCAGTTAAAGGCTTACTGTATGTCCCATTTTACCCAGAAATCTCAGTCCTCTCAGATAATCAGGAAAGGCTAGTTATTTTGCACTTTCTGTCTCTCTCTCTCTCTCTTTCCCCGCCCTCTCTCTCCCTCCCTCTCCTGTTCTCTCTCCCGTTCTCTCTCAGCCAAATTGTTGACTGGCTTAGAGTTAATAACTGCAAGATGGGAGATGATTTGCAAAAGACAGTAGACAGGGGCTGGAGCGATAGCACAGAGGGTAGGGCATTTGCCTTGCACGTGGCCAACCTGGGTTTGATTCCCAGCATCCCAAATGGTCCCCTAAGTATTACCAGGAGTAATTCCTGAATGCATGAGCCGGGAGTAACCTTTGTGCATCACCAGGTGTCACCCAAAAACCAAAAAAAAAAAAAAAAAAAAAGACAGTAGATAAGGATGAATATCCAAGTTGAGAAATTGGAATGAGCAAGTAACTTGGATACAAGGAGGAAAAAGAAAAAGCAAGAAAAGGAAAGCACACAAGACAACTGAGGTCAGAGAAACCAGGAGGATTCTGAGGCTCTCGGAGAGATAAAGCACATGCCTTGAGCTTCAGGCATGTGCGTCTCTCCTGGTGGGGCTCGGAGGACCACATGGGATGCCAGGGATTGAATGGGGTCAGCCGCATGTAAGGCAAGCACCGTAGCTGCTGTTCTGTTACCCCAGCCCCTGTCCTGAGATTTTTAACCCTCTCTGTGCACCCAGTTCTTTGGATAACTGGTACACCTAGAAATGTGGTTCTCAACGTGTTTCCTGGGCAACTATGCTTGGGACAGGGACCAGTTCTTAGCGGCATCTGATCGAGGAGTACACTTCTCCGTAAGTAGGCATCCCTGGAGCCCCTGGATCATGGAGTCGCTTCCTTCACCACCCCCACAGGTGAGCGGTTCTTCGGGCATGGTGAAGGTAGTTATCGTGGACTCGGTCGCTGCGGTGGTGTCACCCCTTCTGGGTGGCCAGCAGAGGGAAGGTAAGTGGAGTACCAGAACCCGGGATCAGAAAGATGAGATTTCATCTGGCAGTCACAGGGCCAGTCCGATCCTTGCCTCCCTTCTTCCCTCTGCTCTTCCCCCCACAGGCTTGGCCCTGATGATGCAGCTGGCCCGGGAGCTGAAGACGCTGGCCCGGGACCTCGGCCTGGCAGTGGTGGTGAGGAAAGGGTATTTGACCTTCTCTCATGGCACAGGAGACTCAAGCCCACTGCCAGGGCTCAGAGATAGCACAGCAGATAGGGTGTTGGCCTTATGCGCTACCAATCTGGGTTTGATCCCTGGCATCCTGTATGGTCCCCCGAGAACGTCCAGGAGTGATTCTTGAGGGTAGAGTCAGGAATAACCCCTGAGCATCATCCAGTGTGGCCCTAACACCCCCTTCGGCCCCCCCCCGAAGAATTAAAAAATAGCCCACTGCCGGCATCTCATCAGGAAAGGTGGCCGCCTGATGTGTGCCCTGTCACCCCCTACTATGGTGGGTCTCGCCCAGGTCCTCTTCATTCAGAGGAAAAAGCTGCAGTGTCACGAACCCAGGCATCTAGTTTCAGACCCGTGGGAATGAGGAAGAATGCTTTGGAGTGGTCATCTCCCTGCCCCGCTCCCTGTCCTCCTCTGTGAAAGGAAGCGGAAGAATTGCTGCTCTTCCCCTCCGTCTCAGCTCACGGAGCCCTCCATCTTCGGGGACATTTTTCTCCCCTAGGTGACCAACCACCTGACCCGAGACAGAGACAGTGGGAAGCTCAAGCCTGCACTGGGGCGCGCCTGGAGTTTTGTGCCCAACACCCGGATTCTCCTGGATGTGGGCAGCGAAGGGGCAGGAGTACCTGGCAGCCAGCGCACAGCGTGTCTGACCAAGTCTTCCCGTCTGGTGAGCCCGCCCCGGGGAGATGCTGGCGCTCGGCCTTTCCGCCTGGGAGGGCGGGTTCTGGGCCTGCCGCTGTCTTGACCGAGGGCAGATCTTGGAAGGCGGAAGGCTTGGAAGCTGAGACTGTAACCCAAGAGGACTCCCTGCTCGGGCTGTGGCATGGGGACACTCACCGTCCCCTCCCATCTGTGTCTCCAGGCCACAGGATGCCAGGAGGTGGTCGACTTGGAGAGTTGGGGGACCACAGAGCGGAGCCCAACGCTGTAGGGAGGAGGCCTGACTGGGCTGTGTGGCGGGCAGAGCCTCAGCCCGGGCGCTGCTGCTTCCAGCCCTCCCACAGCTGCTCTGCACTCTCCAGCTGTACAGGAGACACCAGCTTCCTCGGCGACAGCAGAGAGGAAGCTACGGAGGAGACGCCCACGCTGTGCTGGTGCTGGGGTCCCATGTTCCCACATTTGTTTCCAGTGCGGTCGCTTCCCCTGGGTTGGCACATCTCTGCAAAGGCTCCCTAGGGACCGTGTGGGTCACCCGTAACCCGTAACCATCACTCCCACAGAGGCCCAGAGCACTGTCAGGCCTCGCTGCCTCCAGCTTAACTTTGATACTCCCTCTCTTTCCCTCTCTCTCCCCCTCCCCACTTTCTCAGTCCCTTCCCCTCTTTCTGCCGCCTCTGTTTTCCCATCTGTAAAATGAGGCTTCCTTTTCCTTGACAGTCTCTGTGTTACTGACTGCAAGCCACTCCTTGAATGTGAAAAGGATTGGCTTCATCTGTGCCTTACTCTTAAACATGAAAGAAAAAAAAATTCCCTTAGCCCTGGACCAGCCTGATTTCCACCCCTACCGTTTTCCACGCCCCGCCCTGGCCCTGACGGAGGCCCCCAGAAATGGTTGGTGGTTCCCTTTTTTCCTGTTGCTGGTTGGGTTTCGCGCACCTGTGTGCATCACCGAGACTCGGTGAGAACGTGAGCTCCCTGCCGTCCCAGGGATATAATTTAACAGGAAGAGAGGATGTGACCTGCACGAGGTGAATCCAGGTACTTGTTTAATATGTACGGTGCCCCACGGGCCTCTCCACCGTATAGAGTAACCAGAAGGGCTGAACCCTGGCCTTGTTCATCAGCAGACAGAGGAGAATTTGCACAGTAAATAGAGCCAGCTGGGAAAACTGATGCTGGCGTAAATAATACATGGCCAGTCTTGTCCTTTATGCAGAAATTCATTGCTGGTGGCTCCGAGATGCAGTATAATTACCCTGCTCTTCCAGCCAGCTGCACCAAAGCCTAGTGCCCAGAGTGTGTGAAATAACCCCTTTCTGCACCAGCCCGGTGGCCAGCCACCCTTCTGAGAGCTGTAACCAATAAATGGGTGGGGAGGAGGACCCCAGTGAGAGGGAAAGAAAAGGCAAAGTAGGGATGGGCTCAGGATTTTGCTGGTGACATTCCCCACCCCCCGCCCCCCACCCCCCAGGAAGATGGCTTTTCTTGGTCAGAGAGCAGGAAGTGTAATTAAATTTGTCTTGGCTTGCAGGGAAGGGGGGAGGTCAGAGTTCCTGGGGAAGATGAAGTTTAATGATAATGAAGAGAGTAGACAGGGAAGCAAGATACCCTGTCAGTAACATTATTGTAGACTACTGTGCCAAAAAAGAGGTGCTCTCCATGGAGGCAGACGGGGGTTGGGGGGTGCCAGGAAAACTGGGGATATTGGCAGAGGGAAATGGACAATGGTGAGGGAATTAGGGTTGGAACATCATACACCTGAGACTCAATCGTGAGTAAGTTTATAAATCAACAGTGCCTTAATAGAAAGAGAGAGACAGACAGAGACAGAGGTAGAGAGGAAAGATCCACCGTTCTAAGTGCTGCCATCCCTACCCCATCCAGATGCTTTGCGGAAGTGAGCTCTGGATCAGGATCTGCCACTGGGGAGCCTGCTCACTGCCATTTTCCCAGGGGAAAATTAACCCTCCCTCCACGTCCTATCGGGAGAGCGTGGCACATCCCTGCCACCAAATCAGGCAGCCCAGACCTTAAACTGGGAATGGCAGATTCTGTGTCACTCTACCTTGTGGGCATCCTGAGCCTGTGCAGGCAGCACCAATCGATCAAGTGCCCTATTTTGTAGGGTTCAGAGGTTCTGCGGCTTTTCTCCCTGCAGCCTTCCCAGAAAGCTGTGCGGGCAGGCAGATGGAGTTGGCTCTTTGAGGAGGGCCAGGTTGGCGTCCACCCTGGGAGGCTCTGCCATATTTCCTCTCTAGGGGGAATTGAGAGCTTGGTACCTGACTGCAGATTTTAGAAGAATGTAGTTTGAGAGCCCTGTTAAGGGTGTCCAGTGTTCTTCAACCTTTTCACACCTGCTGACCAGCACCTGTTCTCCATATGGTCCATGAACTGGCAGGTTTTTGGGTGTTTTTGTTTTGGGCCACACCTGGGAGTGCTCAGAGGTTACTCGTGGCTCTGCACTCAGGACTCACTCCCGGTGGGCTCAGGAAACCACATGGATGCCAGGGATTGAACCCCAGGTCGGCTGCATGCAAGGCAAATGTCTTATCTGTTGTATTCCCCCAACTCTCTGACCCTCCCCCAACCAGCAATTTTAACCAAGGTGGTAAACCAGTAGTTTTCAGCCTTTCTACAGTTGCCGACTGGCACTGTTCCAATGGTGCTTGACAATCACTGATCTGTGGCCGGAGTAACCTCTGAGCACCGCTGGGTTTGACCCAAAATAAGAAAAAATCGTTGATCTAACCCACTAACCCATCCTGTTCTTTAATAGAAAAAAAAAAACAACTGAGACCCAGAGTCCCAGTGGCGGAGCACAAACAGGAGCCCAAAACTCTGATAGGGTGGAGGCCCTTGCTGGCTCCACATTGCCTTTTTTCCCCCATCCACACAGTTTGATTGGTTCCTGCTGTGGTGTGTGCTCCAGCTGAGGGACCACCGCAGCCCTCACTCATCCCGTATGGCTGCTCTGGCCATGCCCACGGTGCCCCATTTGCTGCCGCTCCAGACCAGACCAACCCTGACGTTCCCACAGAGCTTTTCCGTTCCACTTGGCTCCTTCCTTCAGCCACCCTTTGTCTTGCTCTTGAACTCTCCCTGCAGGCTGCAGCTGCCCGCTCCATTCCGATCTCACCATAGGACCTGGCTGCTACTTCAGCTCGAGAGTCATTTGCTCCCTTTGCTTTAGGTGTCTGGGCTGGAGCGATAGCACAGCGGTAGGGCTTTTGCCGCGGCCGACCCGGGTTTGAGTCCTCCATCCCTCTCGGAGAGCCTGGCAAGCTACTGACGGTATCCCGCCCACTCAGCAGAGCCTGACAAGCTCCCCGTGACATATTCGGTATGCCAAAAACAGTAACAGCAAGTCTCACAATGGAGACGTTACTGGTGACCGCTCGAGCAAAACGATGAACAACGGGAGGACAGTGCTACGGTGCTATGGTGCTTTAGGTGTCCGGTGCCCACCTGCCCTGACATCCTCCCTTTCTTTGCCCCAGCGGGGTCTAGGTCACCATTTATCATCTGGAGGCCATATGGTCCTTCTGAGCACCTCTCGGATACTCCAATCCAGAAGCGGGGGAGGGGAGCATGGTACAAGACTAGGGTTCCAACTGTTGGGATTGTGTGTTGGGGGGAAGAGGGTGGCAGGAAGGAAGCAAGAGTGGAAGGTGATCATGGCCAGAAAACATTGAGAAACATTGGATAGGTGTTATGGTGACTTCCTGTTGCGTTGTCTGTCCATCAGCCCCACCGGGTCCATTTCAAGGCTGCAGGTCAGTGTTTCTCTACCTCTTGCCTCACATTATGGAACTCAGCCATTAAATTCAGGAATAGAATGGGTTTACTTCGCAGCATTTGAAAGATGGTAAAGGCGGGAGGCAGGAATGTTTTTCTTGATCTAGGTAAGGATAGAGACTTTATAACTTACCTTTCTGTGGAAGACTATCGTGTGCCGGTTGTTTAATTCTTGATCATTTAAAAATTTTAAATTTTTATTAAAAACACTGCTTTACAAAATTGTTCCCGTGTGCCCGTTATTTGACCCTGTAGAGAATTAATGTTGAGTCCCTACTGGGTGCTCGAATCTGACAGACATCTGCGCTCTCCAAAACTCTGGGGCCAAAGGTCCAAGTATCACTGCACTGTACTGAGTAACAGCCTGGCTTAAAGGAGACTTCAGGGACAAGGACAGGGGCCAGGGGACAAAGAACACCTGCTCTGCAAGCAGGAGACCTCCACGTGGCTGGGTTTCATCCCTGATCCCCAGAGTCACCCATATGCATAGTCCCGGAGGCCCTCAGAGCTGCACTTTCTGTGTGTGAACACAACTCTAGTACCAGACTCCCCTCATACAACTACTGTGGCCAAGTGTGTGAGCACAGCAGCTGAAACATCCGCCCCACAACCAAGTGTGATACATCCCTCCTGCACCATTCACTGCGACAAGGGGAAGGAGAAAGGAAAAATGTAAAATACATGTATATGTATATATTTCTTTTGTGGCTGGCGAGGGGTATAGTCAGCTGTGCTTAGTTAGGAGTTACTCCTGGCTCTGCGTTCAAGGATCAGTCCTGGCAGGGCTTGGGGACCATATAGTGCTGAGGATTGAAACCAGATGCTGTAAGTTACCCCTATCTGCTACACTATGTCTTCAGTTCCCAGAAAATGTTTTGTTTTTTGGAGCGATAGTACAGTGGTAGGGCATTCGCCTTACAAGCAGCCAACATGGCCAACCCGAGTTCGATTCCTCCGCCCCTCTCGGAGAGCCCGGCAAGCTACCGAGAGTATCTCGCCCGCACGCAGAGCCTGGCAAGCTCCCCGTGACGTATTCGATACGCCAAACACAGTAACAACAAAGTCTCCAATGGAGACGTTACTGGGCCCACTCGAGCAAATCGACGAACAGCGGGAGGGCCTTTACCTTTACCTTTACCTTTTCCTAGTAAAAATTAAGCCTTTTGTATAGGAGGATAGAAACACCACAAAGCAATACCAACAAGGACATTATCTCCAGTTAAATGAAGTTCAAGGTTGATTCATTCGGTAGCTGTTTGTTAATAGTGGCTATTTCCCTTCTGCCTTGTTCTCTTGTGTGAGTGTTTTTTCTCCCAGCTTGTTCTCATCCAGACCTAGCTTTGTGAGCATCAAATACAGCATATCAACAGGCAGAAACATGATTGCCTCCATACTGCTTTTTCAGAACAAGGAAAAACCAGAACTTTGTGTCTCACTGCTGCAGAATTGCTTCATGTACCCATATCTAAATTGTGG